GTTCTTCTTTTATTTTGGTTCCATAGTCGGACCTTGATTGTATCTGGTTGATGTAATGCTTTATTCATGTAATTGTGTGAAGTGGCGATTGTAAGCCAACTATGTATCTCTTTCCCTTATGTATTACATGGGTTGTGTGAAGATTACCTCACTTGCGACATTGCTTTCAATGCGGTTATGCCTCTAAGTCGTGCTTCGACACGTGGGAGATATAGCCGCATCGAGGGCGTTACACTATCGTCATCTTGTTGGCAGTCTTGTCTATCTTGCCGTTACGCGTCCTGACATCTCCTATCCTGTCCACATCCTGAGTCAGTTTGTTTCGGCCCCCACCTCTGTCCACTATAGTCATCTCCTCCGTGTTCTACGATATCTTCGTGGCACGATCCCTCAGCGCCTTTTCTTTCCCCACTCCATCTCTTTTGAGCTCCAGGCCTACTCTGATGCTACCTGGGCCAGTGATCCCTTTGATCGACGCTCGCTGTCTGCTTACTGTGTCTTTCTTGGTGGCTCTCTTATTGCCTGGAAGACAAAGAAGCAGACTACAGTTTCTCGCTCGAGCACAGAGGCTGAGTTGTGAGCCATGGCTATGTTGACGACTGAGATGATCTGGTTACGGTGGTTACTTGAGGATTTTGGTGTGTCTGCTACTACCTCCATTCCTCTACTGTCTGACAGCACCGGTGCTATCAGTATTGCGCGTGCCCCGGTGAAGCATGAACTCACCAAGCACATCGGTGTGGATGCCCACTTTGTGCGTGTTGCTGTGCAGGATCAGACTCTCGCTCTTCACTATGTGCCCTCGGAGTTACAGTTGGCTGACTTCTTCACGAAGGCACAGACTCGAGCACAGCATGGGTTTTTCCTCTCCAAACTCAGTGTTGTTGATCCACCATGAGTTTGAGGGGGGGTGTTAGATGTGTATAGTTCATTGTGTACATCCCCATTGTATAAGGGGCTTTTCTGCACTTTACCACATCTGTATATGTACTGGCCATTGGCCCTCAGTAAAGCTTAGTTGCTCACTTATCCAACAGTAACGATGACGATTGATACCAACCTGATGCTGTGAGGCGCCACATCACTTTGAGTCAAAGTTCAACCCCCTTCGTATACACCGCAGATGGGGTCTTGCGCCACTAATCTGACCATTCCTACTTTCTCTACCATTGCTTCTTCTACCCATCTTCTTGCACGTATGGTAGTGGATCGATCAGGCCCTTTGCAACACCACCACCTGCAAACAGCTGACCCAGTAGGTTGCAGAAGAGAAGAGGTAACCATGGAGAAGAGCAGGTATGGCTCAAGTTCTCACCATGGGTTATTGCTAGCACTGCTGTTTTGCTTGCTGTTTGATTTGTCCATGGCCCGCGTGCAACCTCTACGGCTAAACAAAGCGCAGGAAAGCACCATGAGAAACCTTTCAAGCATGATCTCCGCCATGGCTCCGTGGAGCCACTGGGACACAACCGACCCGAACCCGTGCCTGTGGAGTGGGGTCACTTGCTCTGTGCCGTCTAACCGCCCCGGTTCATCTGCAGTTGTGCTCCACCTCTCCATGTCTCGCTTTGGCCTCTCCAACTCCACCGTACTTGCCTGCTTATGCTCCCTTGACACCTTGGAATCTCTGGATCTCTCGAAAAACAGGTTCACCGATCTGCCACGGCAGCTCTCCTCATACCTCTTGGGTTCTAGATTGCGCACGCTCAATCTGAGCTACGCTCAGTTGCCTGGTCCGCTCGGCGACTTCACTGGTTTCCGCAAACTGGAGGTTCTTGATTTCTCCTTCAGTTTGCTGAGTGGAAATGTGGACGAACAGTTGAGTTCTTTGCCCAGATTGAGAAGCTTGAACCTTAGTTCCAACACACTTGATGGCAGCCTCCCAACAAATATGGTCCACTCTTTGAAGGAACTGGTGTTATCTAGCAACAACTTCAGTGGCTTGATACCTAGTGAAATCACCATGAATACCGAGATGTTGGATTTGAGTTACAATAAGCTTAGTGGTGAGATACCTTCTGATCTGTTCTTGGCTGCTGGTTTGCATACCGTTGATCTCACCGGCAACATGCTTGAAGGGCACATACCGCAAGGATTCTCTCACAGCCTCTATCGCCTTCATCTCGGAGGAAACTTGCTCGATGGTAGTATCCCAGGCTCGATTAGTGATGCCTCAATTCAAGCTTGTCTTATCTTGAGCTGAACAATAACCACTTGGCGGGAGGCATACCCCGGCATGTTGGCAGATGCAGTAAGTTGGTTCTCTTGAATCTGGCAAGCAACCAGTTGAACGGTACAGTGCCCACTGAGATCAGCAAACTTGATAGCATGGCTGTTCTGAAACTGCAAATGAACAATTTTGACGGACATGTACCAAGTGCACTTGTCGATCTGGTGAACTTGAATGTATTGGACCTTAGCCAAAACTCATTTACTGGAGAGATACCACATGAAATTTTCCAGCTACTGCGGCTTTCAAACATATGTTTGCAGGGCAACAAGATCACTGGCGCCATTCCAACTTCAATCAGTTCATTGCAATTTCTTATTGAGCTTCATCTCGGGGATAATGAGCTCACTGGTGTGATCCCCACAATGCCGACCAGCTTGAGTGCAATTCTGAATCTAAGTCACAACCATCTCAGTGGATCTATTCCTTCAAATATTGGCGTTTTGAAGGACCTGGTGATTCTTGATATTTCCTATAACGACTTGTCTGGCCCGATACCATCCTCGCTCGAAGGTTTGCAAAGCTTGACAGAGCTGGTGCTTTCTTATAATCAGCTCTCTGGATCCCTTCCAGCATTTCGATCATCTGTGGCAGTCGATTCCAGGGGAAATCCAGATCTTCTCAACAATACCGCCAACGCTCCAGACGTGATGACAAGCACCGAAGATCACGGCTCGGCTATATGGGTTGCGGCAGTTTCATTTGTGGTTTGCTTCGTCGTCTCTTTCTATGGGGATGGGATCAGAAACGGGTGGCTTACAGGTTGAGGCCTCCTTTGGTTTGGAGGAATTTTATAGAAATTCTAGAGGATAGGATTTCTTATAGGATTTTTTCCTTTAGAGCCCTTTGGTTCATAGGAATGGATTCTTATTCCTACATAGGATTGGTTCCTATCCTCCACATTTTATGGGAAAATAAAAATGAGCCTAGACTCAATGGAAAAATTCCTTTGGTGTCAACCAAATGACATCTCGTTTTCTATTCCTACTCATAGGATTTAAGATACATGTCATCTCATTTCCTACAAAATTCCTATTCCTACGATAATCCTATCCTATGAACCAAAAGAGGCCTGAAAGGGCAACTAGCTGACTACTTGGTGCTGCAAGCCAAACCCAACGCCAAGCCATAGATGCATGTAATTTTTTTAGTTAGGATTAAAGATACCAATGCTGGTGTAAGAAATAAGAGCTAAACTACAATTATCTTTTTCTCCGCATAATTTGTTTTGAATGGCATTTTCACCGCATAATAGCTGAAAATGCAGCAGAGTATTCAGCTTGTCCTATGGAACATGGTTAGGCAGAGTTCATATGTACACTCAACGCATTGGACTTCAGTTAAGAACAATCGATCAGTATTCTCGCAGTCGTAGATACCGAACAATTAAGACTGTAAGTAAACTATCATACTTGAATGTTGGTGCTCTATTTGCGAATCATCCCTCCCTTGCAACCTGACACTCGATGCAGAGGCCGATTGTTTTTCCCTCTTTTTGAGGAAAAGAAAAAATCACCTGCGACCTGAAGCAATCAGAGGAATGGTTTGCCGTTCGAGGGCACACACACGGAAGGCACCTGCCTCATCCTGCTCGCCGCGCGTCGCCGGATCAGCGTGAGGAGTAGCCGAGTAGGCGGCTCCTGGGCATCGGTGACGAGGGCGGCGGCGCGTAGAGCCTGGCGGTGGAAAGGAAGGCCGAAATTGTACGTGCCACGCGGCTCCTGGTTGCTCAGTGTAAAGGAGGGTTGAAATTTTGGTTCTGTTCAAGCTATCCCATCTTGTGCGGGGTTGGGGTTTCATACCGGAATTGGGGATGACGGAAACCCTAGCGGCCGCCGGACGAACCGCGGAAGTCACCAGGGCGGCGCTCTTCCTCCCCCCAGTCCATCCGCCGCACGCACTCCTTCCATCCTCCGCCACACGCTGACTCGACAAGCTCTCGGCCAGTTCCCATTTTGCCGGTGGGGATGCCAGCCGGAATGGCCTCATCGCCGCTGCACTCTCCGGAGAAAAATCCCTAAGTGAATCCCCATCTCCACCGTCCTTGCTCTTGTTTTGAGTTGATGCCTTGTCATCAGGCTGGTAGATTTGGGTACATTTCATCATAATAGAAACAAGATTAGTTCGTAGCATTGATGGCATTCCAACGGAAACATCATTAGATCACAATTTTTTTGTGTGCAGGTAGAAACTGGCTATAACATAGCAACTTACTTGTTCCATAAACATGTGTACAATTTCACCAACACAACCTTCTTTGAGAAATGAAACAGCCCGAGGGCAATGTTTCCAAGGGAAATACGACACAGATTGTTTGATCTAGAGAAATAAGACATCACAATGGTGAACACTAACCTGACCAACTCAAAGGGCTGGGGCGGTCTGGCAGTGGCAATCTGGTGGTTCACGTGGTGCAAGAGGAATGCCCGGATTTTCCAAAGCAAGGCGTCCACCGTCAGCACGGTCTTCAACTTGATGATTGATTAAATTTAGGATATGAAACCAGGCTGGGCGTCATAGGATTCAGCTGCTTTTGGACAGACCTCGAGAGCCAGACTGAATTATGTGCTGATGTATGTTGCTGGGTTGCCGGCTGTTGGCATAGTGGATGTATAGCGGCCTGCTCCGACCAAATACTTGTAACACCTTTCCTCTTATAAATGAAAAAGAAAAGCTGCTCCGACAACGTTTCATAAAAAAAAACAATGGTAGAAAATCACGATCAAAAATACATTTTTAAGCAACCAACGCTTGTGCCTCCTTCACAAGATCAAGAGAGGAGGGGCCTGGCGGTCTTCTTCGCTCCACAATCAGTCCCAGCGAAGAGCATGTAGCTTTCAAGGCTAGACATGATTCCCGGAGCCTTGGACAGTGTCTCCATGAATTTCTGATTCTTGAAGTGCGCGCTGTACTGGCCGTGCCGCATCACTGTAACAGCAATCCGACCGCAAAGCTTGACGATTCTTAGGCTGTTAGCCGTGGCCTCACAGTTCTCTTCTACTATAGTCTTGAGCTTCGCCACAAATACACCTTCTGCTGGGACGATCGTTAGAGCCACGACATTGAAGTCATCTGCACTGATCAGTTCGCTGCATATCGCCAAAGTAAGAGATAAAAACGCCTCTTGCAGTTCCATCATAGCAGTTTGCTCCTCATTTGCTTGATCGGTTAACTTAGTTTGGCTCCTGTGGTCCGAAAGTTTTTTTTCTTCATCATTTCCCAGTATACAAAGTTGTTGCTGCTCTGCATCATCGCCCGATGCAGAAACATTGCTTTGAGATGCTTCGGTTGGGGGTTCTATTTGGCTGTTCAACACACTCTGTGAGTAGCTGCAATAATAAAAACGAGACCAGTAAATGTGAGGCAGCGGGCCAGCGGGAACTTTTCAATTAGTATATTTTCTTTTTGCGAAAAATCAATTAATATAATTAAGTGTATAGTTACAGTTCTCTGTTTTCCACTTGTTAGTGTTGTGCTGATCTAGTAGATGTTTGAATTAGATAAATGGGTTGAAACAGTTACCTTTGGCAGCAAGATAGTCTTCACATGTTCCTTGTCCATTTGATGACGACTACACAAATTCTCCAAGATCTCTGCTGCTATTGTGCTGTATATGATCTTGTTCTTAGCATCAAGTAATTCAACAATGTTCTCATATTCCCTCACTACAAGCCCAGACATAGTTGCTGTCTTGGATAGTAGTGCCAATGTTTTACCAGCCGTTACTTTCAGCCCTTCCATGACGAACTTGGTGTCATTTTCTTCCGGTTTTCCATCAGTAAGGAAGTACTGCAGCTGCTTCTCGATGAGATTTTCTTTTTTCTTTTTTTTGAAAGAAGGCAAAAGATTTGCCATTTCATTGATTAAGAAAGGAGTTATCGAACAAGGGCCGCAAGGCGGCAAAATAAAATGTCTACTCTCGCGGTATTACAACACTCATGTGCTTTGCACCCGCCACTGCCCAAAGAGACACCTCTTCTTTGATCTTACAGATTAGGACCATGGAAGGGATGGCCATGTTTCGAAAGACCCTAGCGTTACGCTCTGTCCATATCTCCCATGAGATAAGCATCATCAAGGAGGCTAGCGCCTTAGGGGAGCCAAGGCGAATCTGAAGGTTGCCGTTCCACCAGTCTTTCACCGAAGTCCTCGTCTGCCATATCGCCGTAGAAATGTGGTGCATGCCAAGCCACATAAGAATATGGTTCCAAATGCGGATGGTGAAGCGGCATTGGAAGAGAAGGTGGGCTGCCGACTCCTGACATTGCTTACAAAGTGGGCAGAGGCCATAGTTTGGCCATCCGCGACGTATGAGACGATCCGATGTCCAAATCCTATTTTGAAGGACTAGCTAAGCAAAGAACTTGCACCGAGGGGTGGCCCAAACCCTCCATACAGAGTGAACGGGATCGGGCGATGTGAGACCCTCAAATTGTGCCTTCTAGATGAGATTTTCTTTTGTTTTGCTGCTGAGATCGGTTTGCATATCCAAAGCCAATTCTGTCAGTATTTCCTTGGCTCGCATCTGCAGTTCTTCGACATTTCCGTTGCCCTCATCAAGAATTTCCCCAAGGTTGTTCATTGCATGTTTGCTAGAAGATATTTCTGAGTGCACCCTTCTGCCTGTCCACTCAGGAGCACGGATGAGCATGTGAACCACTTTCAAGGATCCGTTTACAATATCTGCCCAGGTATTTATACTAATATCTTGGATTAGTGTCTCGGAGTGAAGAGGCGCCATGATCTTGGGAAGGAGACCAGGGGTGCTGCATAAGTCGCCACAGTTGTGCTGGTCGCCCGCGAGCTTCTCGAGAATTGTCATGCCTTGCAGAATTAACTCGTTCCAGGCATCTCCTTTGCTGCCATGGATTGGGATATCCACTTCATCTTGCTAAGCGTCACCCTCTTGTGTTTTAGCCTTTTTTGCTCTGCGTTTCTCTATGCGCCTAACACTGAAAATCAATCTGTCTTTAGCATTCATAGGATCTTTTAACTTAATTTGAGTTGAGCAATGATTGTGTCCTTGTTGGTTGTTCCAATATGGCAGGCTGGTATCGAGCAGGGAGGATATGCACTGTATTGCCCCAGGGTACTGGGTTAGATGGATGTCACCTGCAAGATAGGCGACGATCCTGGCGGCGAGCTCCCTGATCTCTCTATCGCTGCTTCTCCACCCCAGTGTATCGATCAGCTTCTGAATCTTTGGCCTTGAGGGAACAACAAGTGATCTTACATCTGCCTCCAGCTTAATGAAGGCGTCGAGTATTCTTGCTCCCGAGAGGTAGTCTTGCTGCGATTCAGAGTCCAGCAACTCAACGGCATAGTTGATCAATTTCCTGCCACGGATGGACGCAGGGTCCCGCCAGCATTTCGCTCGTGTGTCCATAATCACGCTGTATTATGCGCCACAATGAGAGCGCCACGCAGACCATACGCCCGTAAGTGTAAATGCACACTAAGGATCACTAAGACCACAATCATGCAGATGACAGGAAAACATAGGAAGGGAAAAAACGATTGAATGGCAGTGTAGCGGCGCGGAGACAGCTTTTTAGCATGAACTTTTTTCCTAAGATTCTGACTGATTCCCACAAAATATGCAGTAGCGTTGATGTACAGTTGGGCGAAATTAAGGGACAGGTTGTCCTCCAAGTCGTTCAAGATCCTGTGTGCGCCATAGCAAATGCATAGTCAGGGTCCCAGTCGTCAGCCTCGTTAACATTCATTTGGTGCTCGGTAAAAGAAAAGCAATGTGAACTCTAATTTACAGAGTAGGATATGCCATTAATTACCTGGATGCTTGTAACATGCTAATAACTTTTTTTTGAGGGCTTACATGCTAATAACTGTGAGGCACCAGGAGCGCCAGGTAGCCCAAGCCTGTTACGGCCATCAAACCGTACGTACGTCTGGCCGAGCACATCAAGAGATAAGAGAAGAATGTTCCTACAAGCCTCCTCAGCGATTTGGATTCCTGACTGTTGGATCTGGCTGCTTGATGCGATCTAGGCCGTCAGATCAACCCCTGGAACGACCTCGTCCGTCGGATAAAAAAAAGTTACTGCTGGAATGAATAGTTTCACCTCAACCGTGCCACCGCACGTAAATAGCCTGCCCCGCCGGGGGCATTTTCGTCATTTCACGCTTGCGCGTATAAATTGCGTCCCCGCTCCTGTGGAGATGACCTAGCCGCCTCTCCCCCGCACTCACGCAGCCCCTCTCCTCTTCCTCCCGTCCCCCCTCCTGGCCACTCGCTCGATCCCCACTGCTCGCCGCCTCGGACGCCGGCCGATTCCGGCCGCTCCGTCGCCGCCCGGCACACACGCGGTTGCAGCTCTACTAGCTTTACCGCGTCGATCCACTTTTCCTCGCCTCCTGTGGTCGCCCCCATCAATTTCCCCCTGCTAGGGTTTCGGTGGTGGAGGTCGACCTCGCCTCCGGCAGCCGCCTGCTTGTTGCCCGGCGCGACTGGACCGCCGACATCAACACGAAAGAGGTGTTGTTCGTCATCATCAATCTGCCTCGGGTTCACCGGATTCAAGAAAGGGCATGGGCGGCAACTCCCTCCTAGATCCCATCCGTTGCAGGCGTGCAGGCAACTCCGGTGAGTCCACCCTGATGCATTGTTTGTACCTCGCGCACTTTTTTCCCTCTCTCGTGGTTCGGCGGGGAGCGAGCGGCGGTTGCAGATCGATGCCATGTGGTGGAGCGATGGGGGGTTTGTAGGGGGAACCACGCCATGGCGGGTGAGGCGGACTGTGCTAGCTAGAGAGGTGCAGGCGCGTTTGATGGGGCGGATGGTTCACGACCGGCGTGTGGCGAAGGAAGGGGCGTTGATGTACAGGACGTAGGAGAGCATGGTGATGCTTCTGTACAGCATGGTGACCACGGCGGGGCGTGCCTAGGTGCATGGGGGCGAGCTGGAGTTTGTTTCTGTTGATGGGCTCGTGGGAGGGGCCGTACCCCAGGGGAGGTGGCGACGGTGGCTTAGGCTTGTTGTTTTCTTCCATATGCAGATTTTCAGGCTTTATGTTGCCGCCTGACTTATTCAGTTCAGAGGCTATGTGCAAGTTTTAGGCTGCTGCTACTGTCTATCTATGCATGTTTGTCCTCGCCTTCTATGTCGTTGCTGATGTTTATCTATACAAGTCTATGCTGATGCCTTTTATTTTCCAGTTGTCTGACGGTGAACTAGGAGTTTTTTTTGCTGATTAGAGATGCTGCTGCTACTTTTATTTATTCCAGTTGATTGATGAACTAGATGTAGTCACCGGTTTGGTGTTTACAGTCCCGTGAATGGAATATGTTTATTTGTGTCATCATTGCTGCTTCCTGTCTCCTTTTCTCTACATCTCAACATATTTTTATCATCATGAGAATCCTCGGTCTTGTAGTTTATCTATAGTGTCAAGCTTATCTTATTCCTGCCAATAGTTACCTTGCTTTTTCCAGGCAACATCAGTAGCTTTTTACCTGAACAAAATGCATGCATTTGATCCTTGGGGAGAAGCTAACCTGAATTGCATATTGGTTATGTGAGAAGTGCCCTCTCTCCCTCTCTCATGGTGTGTTTCTTCCTCCTCTGTGTGTTTTCTTAAACAGGGGGAGGGGGTGTCGATATGCCAAGTAGGAAGAAAGCTGGATCCGGATGCAAGGGGCAGGCGGACAGACAATAAGGTGTGTGCCGACTACACAACTGCCAACCTTTTCTGTTTTAGTGAGATATTTTTTTGTGATGTTTCCTCTAGACACAAACCATAATTGTTTCGAATATAACTACCATTTTTTATTTCTTAGGAGTGTATTTCAGTGCAAGGGGGGGTTTAATTTGATAGTCCATGTCAGCAGTTGCCATGTTTTTTTACTGTTTTGACCATATTAACCATTGAGTGGTTGTCAGATTAATCATACCTTGTTGTCATGTGTTTTTTCATATGACCTTGCCATGTTTATAAACCCATAGTTGCCGCGAATATACTTTGCTATCCGTGACAAGGGGGTGATTGCCATTTTTTTATAAATACATGGTTGTTGTGTTTAATAAAGCGGAGTTGTCAGGTTTTAAGTGGGGTGTAGTCAGATATACAACACCTGGTTGTCAGGTTTTAATGATGTATAAGCAGGTGTAGTTGTAGTGCAGCTGCTTGGTTTGCTGCTGATTTGCTACCATTATGATTCCCGATCGTTGAAGAAGCCGGTGGTTCCACTCATAAGTAACTGAAAACAAGTGGATGCTCCTTTGCCATCTCCTGTGCACAAAATTTGTGAACTCATTGTGATTCAGAAATACATGGTAGCGTGCAACAGATATTCTGTGGTTATTTTACTGATGTAGCTTACCAATCATGTTATTTGCTGTTACCAACATGTACCTGATTTTGGCCATTGTCATTTAACATAGTTTTTGGTCTCATTAACAACACACGTTGGTGTCAAGACGAGCGACATGGCCTGCTATGATCAACAACTTCTGAGTCATAGGATTTGATGCATTATTCTGTGTGAAAAAGGGCAATGAATGCATGAATTAAGTTTTTTTGGTTTGAAGCAACTAGCAATTTCTATGTATATATTACTATACTAATAGATGAGAGCATGTGTGCATATGTATGTGGTTTTCAAGGAGAGTTATGTGACCATGGCGTTCGTGCTCGTCGGCGGGACGGTGCAAGGCACAACTCCGACGCGGTCGCGTGGTGGATGTGCAGTGTAGGAAGCGGTTCCTTGCCGGTTGGACGGCG